CTGCATTTAAACAGTTGATAGCTTAAATTATTTTAAATAACTACATTTATCTAATGCTTTACTTACAATTTACAGAACAGCTTTCTTAAAACTCTGTGATGCAGGAAGTGTGTGTTTCCTTGTTAAAGGTTAGGCAACTGAAATTCACAGAAGTTAAATGACTTGCCCAAGGTGACACAGCTAGAGCCTGCTGCTTTTCATGCTATACACATAACAGATGCTTCATAAATATTTGTCAAATACAAAACAAAATACAAAACACTATGTTAGTGGTGCAGGAAGTAGAGATAATATGCTCTCACTAAGTGTATATTGACTGATGGGCCTTTCCACTAAACATGCCTACATATCTAGCTAGCAGATACACTCTTTGCAGGCCAGGCATCTTCTCATTTCTTTTTAGATCTCTTAAAATTCCATCTGCTCTTTGCAAACCTCACTTAGCAAAATATAATCATTTATTGGATGTCTAGGTTCATAGCATTTAGAGATAGAAGAGACCTAAACACATCATCTAGTTCAACTCCTTCATTTTACTGAAGAGGAAACTGGGGCCAAAGAAGGTATATGACTTTTCCAATGTCACAAAGTAATAAGTGGCAAAGCCAAGATAAGTTCTAAATCCCATTCAAAGGATACCCACACCTCTACCTTTGGCAAATTCTACTTTGTCATCCTTCTACTGACTCAAGACCCTCCCCTTCCTCATTCCCCAGGGTCCTATGGACTCTCTCAGCGGTAGGCACTTGGGGGAGATTTAAAAGAAGTAAACCACCTTGTATGTCATCTGCCAGTTTGGGAAGGAGGGTATTCTAGACAAGGTAAGTTTGATACCACATTAACAATTTATATACTAAAACTTCTGTCTCAAACCTTTGAAGGGACATTTTACTGCCTTAGTAAACTCAGGATACAGAAAATAATTTAACCTTTTCTTGAAGACCTAGAGTGATCATTATGATCAATATTTACTAATTAACAACTAAGTAGAGAGATAGTCTTAAAATCTAGTGAAAGAAAACAAAAAGCAAAAACATATTCCTGAAGCCTGTTTTATTTTTATCTCAATTCCTCTGAAATTCTGACCTTTGCTGACCACCGTTCAGCCACAAAATCAATTTTCCTACAGTGAAGGTCTGACCATGTCGACTCCTTACTCATTAAACTCCAGTGGCTCCCTGTTTCCCCCAGAAACAGATATAAGACGCTTCCGAGCGTAACCAACCTCCTCCTGCCTTTCTAGTCTTCTTACCAACATGTTCTCTCTGATCCAGTGACAACGGCTATTCTACAAACAAGACACCCAGCTCCAGGCATTCTCTCTGGCCTGTGCCTGGAATGCTCTTTTCTCAACTCTACCTACTGACCTCTCTGGTTTTCTTTAAGTTCCACCTAAAAATTCCACTTTCCCCAAGAAGCCTTCCCTCACCCTTCTTCAGTCCAGTGCCTTCCCTGTTAATTATTTCCTATTTATCCTGTATATAGCTTACTTTGTATATTTTTGTTTACATGTTGTCTTCCCCATTAGATTGACCTCCTTGAGGTCAGAGACTGTCTTTTGCCTCTTTGTATCCCCAGCTCTTAGCACAGTGTCTGGAACACAGTAGGCACTTAATAAATGTTTATCTATTGACAGATTGACTATTGACAGCCTTCTTGTTACTCCCCGCAGTCCACCATTTCTACATTCCTTTTCTACTTCATCCTTCACATCTCGCTGTTTTCTTTGATTCTTTAAAGAAAAAAAGCCATCAAAGGACTTTCCTAAATTGATTATTAATTACCCCTCTTCCACCAGGGGCTCTCTGACCCTCCAGGATCAAATATAAAATCTTTTTTGGTGACTGAAGACTTTAAAAGCCTGTCCCCTCCCCACACACTTTTCCAGTCTTCTTACATCTTACATTCACCCCACCTTTCCCCCCACCCAAGTAGTTTTTGATGCAATGACACTGGCTTCCTTGCTGTTCTTCAAACACTCATTTCCTAACTCCAGAGATTTTCATGCCTAGAATGTTCTTCATTTCTGCCTCCTGGCTTCCTTCAAGACCCAGCTAAAATTCTACCTTCCCAAGGAAGCCTTTCCCAACCCTTTTTAATTTTAGTGCTCTCCCTCTGTTGTTTATTTCCATTTTTTTCAGTCTATAGCTCATTTGCACATAGTTATTTGCATGTTGTCTCCTCCATTAGATCGTGAACTCTCTGAGAACAGGAACTGTCTTTTACCCTTCTTTGCAAATTCAACATTTAGCAGTGCCTGGCACATAGTAGGTGCTTAATTCTTACTGACTGCCAGTAGATCTACTATTCTCAAGGATTTCCTTCTTATCTAACAGATGGGTACTCCCAGGTTTTCTGGTGGGGAGGGCAGTTCCCTGGCTTCTCCTTGTGGTAACGATCTTCCCAACTCTCATGGTTTTAAGGGGAATGAAAACCCCTGAACCAAGAAGGAACTGGTTTAAGAAAATTTTTCCAAAATTATAAAAAATTAACAGATAACAGACCAGATCCCCACACACTCCTAGCTTCCCTTTACAAATCCAAGATGGAAGTAGGAGATACGAATTGTTGTTGTTGCTGGATTATTCCAATAGTGTCTGCCTCATCACGGGCCCGTTTGTAGTTTTCTTGGCAGAGACTGAGCAGTTTGCTATTTCCTTCCCCAGCTCATTTTACAGATGAGGAAACTGAGGCAAAGAGGGTTAAATGACTTGCCCAGAGTCACATATATACCTAGGAAGTATGAGGTCAGATTTAAATTTGGGAAGATGAACCTTCCTGATCTCAGGCCCAGCACTCTACCCTTTTTGTAACTTAGCTGCCGTAACAGACCCAATCAGAGGATTCTCCAGTACTAGGATAATGAGTTTTTATCTTATCTTTTTGTTTAAGGAGTCTAGCAGCATGGCATAGTGGAAAGAATAATGAATACAGAGGACCTAGGTTTGAATAAGACACCTTCCTGGTCTCCCACCGGCTAGTGCCTCTCCTTAAAGTCCCTCATATCAGTTCTGTGTACCTATAAGTAATGATGCGTATCTAAACACATTAGAATGTAAGCACCTCGAGAGGCAGCGACTGCTGATTTTGTCTTTGCATCCCGTATCTTCTGCACCTGGGTAATTAATGTCTATTGGCTGACCAGATTGCGTCCCTTACTATCTGTGTGACAATGGACAAAACACACACCGTCTCTGGGCCTCAGTTTCCTCATTTATGAAATGAGGTCCCACCTAGGACACACACTGAATCACACGCAGACTCGGGGTAAATCTCTGAAGACTGCATCTCCAGTCTCTGCACCTTTCTTTGCCCAGGCCTGGAACGAACACATCCTTCTTTCCTGATCCCCTCAAACTGCTAATGCCCTCTCCCCCAAACTACCTGGAATACAACTACTTTGAATACTGTTAACAGAAGTGACACAGTAGACAGATTGCTGGGCCAGAAATCAGGAAGACTTGAGTTCAAATCTAGTCTCAGACTTCTACTAGCTGATGACCCTAGGCGAGTCACCCTGTTCGCCTCACTTTCTCCGTATGTAAAATGGGAGTAATGATAGCACTGACTTCCCAGGGTCTTTGTGAGAATCGAATGAGACAATTCTAAGACTGGCACAGAGTAGGTACCATAAGGATGCTATTATTAATGTATACATTTGTATTTATTCTGGGGAGAGATCACAGGACCTTTAGGTGTCTCTCCAGCATCCAGAACACCGGCAGGCACGCAGTAGGCGCTTAGCAGATGATGTACTTATTGACTGACTTCATAAATTGCAGAGAAGTATCGCACCTCCATCGGAAGGGGGAGTTTCCCCTCACCGGGAGCTCCCTATAGCAAATAAATCAGTTTTTTTTTTTTGGTTTGCTTTTGCTAGGCAATGGGGTTAAGTTACTTGCCCAGGGTGACACAGCTGGTAAGTGTGAAGTGTCTGAGGCCGCATTTGAACTCAGGTCCTCCTGACTCTAGGGCCGGTGCTCTATCCACTGCGTCACCTAGCTGCCCCTCCCCCCCCTTTTTAAATGAAGATTTCGGCTAATCCCGAAGGTTTCTTCCAGCTCTAAATCCTACAATCCCAGCGCGGCCTCCCCTGCTTCGACGTCTCTAGGCTCCAGTTTCCTCACGTACAAAGATGGAATGAACCTTTCTGCCTCGTCTCCCCCGCAGGATCGTAGGGGAGGACCAAAGAGGACGATAACGTGGAAGCCTCGGAAGAACTAAAGGCGCCTCACAAACCTGGCCGGTAATTGCTCGCCCGCGGCGGAGCCGGCCCCAGAAGCCACCCACGCACTCTCCTCAGCTCCGCCGACAGGCGCCCCAGTGGGCAGGAAGCTTCTGCGCAAGCTCCGGATAGGGTTATCCCAAGAGTGAACCCGACTGGAGGGGGAGAAATCGGGGAAGAAGGAAGCATGAATTCTCCTTCCTTGACAATTATCATTGGATTACTTCTAAATATTATGAATTTAACATTCAGCACATAAACGTTTTCTGATAGCCCTGTGTGGAGATTCTGAAAATTGTTCCCCGTCCTGGGCTCATGACACCCCCGCTATATAGTTTGGTCCCCTCGGCTCGGTGTGAACAAGAAGGCGCGCTCGAGGGCCGCTGCGCCCGGCGCACGCACGCGCAGGAGAAGCGGTAGGAGGCAGGCGCTGGGATTGGGAGTTGCGGACCGGCTTTCCCGACCTCCCTCCCTGGGAGGCGAGGAGGCTGTCCGCGCGCGCACACCCACGCGTCTTGGCCGTGGTCTCCTCATCCCGGCTCCGGAGTCAGTTAGGCGCTGTCCCTCCTTGCGTGGGTCGGGGGTGCTGCTCTCCCGTGGGAGCACGTCGGGTCCCCTCGGGCCGGGCCCCCAGAGTGAGAGGGAGGCCTGGTTGTGGGCCTCCGCCTTCGTCCGAGAAGGTGGGGGCGATCCTGTTCCGCGTCGCCTCCGGCGAACAGGCAGAGCCGCGGCCCCTGCCACCGGCGCCCGAGAAGCCGGCGGGCGCCGACGCCCGCAGCCGGCTGTCGTTCCCGGGCGCCATGCAGCCCCCCGGCGGCAACCGCCTGGGCCTGGAGCCGCGCGAAGACCTGCGACAGCGGCTGTGGCGCCTCATCGAGAACAACCGCGTGATGATCTTCAGTAAGAGCTACTGTCCCTACAGCACCAAGGTGACGGCTGCGCGGGCCGAACCGGGCCGGGGGCGAGGACCGGGCGGGGGCGGCGGGACCGCGGGAGCCGAGGACTCCTACTGGACACCGGGGCCTAAGGCTGCACAGGCTGGGGGGCGGGGATGAGCACCCGGGCTGGAGCGGCCGAGCTGCTGCGCAGCGGGGGACCCGGGCTGGACGAGCAGGGATGGGGCATGAAGATGCGCTTGGACCTGGGCTGACCGGAGGGATGAGGGAGGGAGGGCTGGGCACCGGATGTAAATGAGATCTGCCTCTTCAGGCCTCAGTACGCATCCTTCCTGCTCTGGGAAGGGGCTCACCTGAAGCCATTCCCCCAGATCTGTCAAGCTGTTAGGAAAATAGGCAGCTGCGATCCAGACTGTTGCCCCGGTCTGGTTCGTGCAGCATGCCAGTTAGGACTTCCTAGCGGAGGAGTTCTGGGGACTAAAGGTGGAATCTGCTGAGATTTTTCTGGAGTGACAGTAGTCTGGATTGGGGTGCTCTGCCCTGTGATAATGCTTCATTGGTGGGACCAGGCAACCGCTGCCTGTATCCCACTTTTATAAAGCTTTAAGGTTTACAAAACACATTTGATCTTTACAACCTTGTGAGGTTGGTAATATTAGTATCTGCCTTTTATAGGTCAGAAAAAAGGCTCTGAGATGTTAAGTGACTTTCAGTGGTACGGCAAGGGAGAAGCACCGTAGATCACTCTCTGGAGGACAGGATCTGGCTCGCAGTATAACCAAATTTGTGATGGTTCAGAACTTAACTAAGAGATATTAATTTCTTGCTTCCTTGCTCCATACTGTGAATTTCATAATGATTGTGTAGTATATTTACTGTTCTGCCTTATATTGGGTTTGCACTCTCATCTCTATCTACTTAAATTGGATCTGTTTAGTGTCCTGGAAGACTCTTCCTGTTTTTCCCTCAGACTCTTCATTCAGCTCAATTCAGCAGATATTAATGGAATACCTATTGTGGGTGCTAGACACTGGGACTGTAACCTGCCCTCAAACAGGTTACAGTCTAATAAGAGGTATTATCTTGTCCACAAATAAGTGGGTTTGAAGAGAGGGCAGGACAGGTACCAAGGAGAGGTCTAGGCAAAGTGAGGATTTGATAATGGAGAAAAGGAGGGATGCTGGGGCTAAGTGGAAGAGATGACATCTGAGTTGGTTCTTAAAGGAAGCAGTTCTAAGCATAGGGGATGGCCTGAAAAAGCACGGGAGATGGGAGGAGAACAAGAGATAAACATCTGGCAGACTCGATTGTAGAATGTGTCAGTCTGGAAAGATGGCTTGGAGCTGCTAAATAGAGAAGAGTTCTGAACACCAGGAGTTTGGGTTTGTTTATGTGTTATTCTTCGGGCTATGGAGAGCTAGTAGAGGTTTTTGAGTAAGGGAGCACCATGATCAGAGTGGTGCATTAGGAAGGTCACTGACAAAGGTGTCAGGGTGAGTTGGAAAAGGGACAATAATGGAATAAGGAACAGCAGTTAAACATGAGCCTTGGTGAGAAGAAATGAGGGCTTGAACCAGAGTGGTTGCCTAATACAGAAGTATAATAAATAATATTAGCTCACACTTTTATAAAGCTTTAAGGTTTACAAAACGCATTTGGTCTTTACAACCTTGTGAGGTTGGTAGTGTTAGTATCTGCCTTTTATAGATCAGAAAAAAGGCTCTGAGATGTTAAGCGACTTGTCTAGAGTTACAAAGCTAGTATCTGAAGTGAAATTTAAACCCAGGACTTTTGGTTCCAAGACCAGAACCTGCAGAGTGTTACACTAGATCTGTAGGGCAACTGAGAGGGAGGAGTTAAAATATGATTCGAAGATACTTGGAAGATAGCGTACCATTCTTAGAAAGGAGAAGGGAGCAAGAGATTTGAGAACAAGACAAGGGATTCTATTTTAGAAGGGATTCTATGTATTCTGTTTTTGTTTAGTTGATTTTAAGACCAAAGGACTGACTATTCAGGTGGAAATAATCCAGCAGGCTGCTGAAAATAGGCATTGGAGGCTCTGAGGAGAACTTGATATGTTTAAGTGGTTCATAGCAATTGCTAACATTTATATAAGTGTATTAGCCTTATAAAGCGATTGTACTTCCATTATTTCACTTGATGTTGCAACAGCACTGTGAGGTACAGACTATTGAGTAGGCTGAGGTGAAGAAGCTGAGACCCAGAGGTTAAGTGACTTGCACACAACCTAATAAGTGATAGAGCTTAGATTTAACTCAGATTTGTAACTCTCAAGTCTGCACTTTTCCCATTCTTTCAGACTTTTAATTTTGGTGTTCCCCCACAGAGCTTTTTATGAACACTTTTCTAATGTGTTAGCTGTCTGTCCTCAATTATATGTTATCTACAAGTTTTGAAAAAAATAGTTGCTGCATTCTGGAGTATATTTTATTATGTTCTATAAATGAAATGTGTTCTCTGGGAACACAGCTCCGTGTTTACTTTGGAAGTCATTCAGGAAAATTATTCAGTTTGCAGTTATTAATTTTAAGAACCAACTTTTCAGGAATAATGAACAGTATTTGTTCTGTGAATTGAAGTATACTCCTGTTCACATCCAGTGCAGGATGCCTCAGACCTTTTCTTAGCCTCAAAATCTCTGCTTTTCAGTGAGATAGACCCAATTCTTTTCTTGAGAGACAGTCATTACAATAATTGTGGGTTACAAATAACTTATAAGTGAATAAATGTTTATAAATTCAATATACTAAATAAGCCCTACTTTGATAAAACATCATGTTAAGGAAGTGACATTTAGTTTTTTGAAGGCTGTATATTCTAAAATACAATACAGTTGCTATGTTTGTGGGTGGAAGTAATAAAAATAATCAGAAAATATAACAGCTAAACATTTATATAATGCTTTAAGGTTTACAATGTATTTTGTATTTATTGTCTCATTAGACCCTCGTAGTGGCCTTGTGAGCCAGGTGCTATTTTCCTCATTTTACAGATGAGTAAACTGAGATTGAGAAAGGTTAATTGATTTTTCCTGGGTCACAGAGATAGTATCTGAGGCGGATTCAAATACAGATCTCCCTGATTCTAAGGCCCCTCCAAAGGGAGGCTCTATCTGCTATACCATCGAGGTGCCTACATTGTACTCAAGCCAACAAATCACCAGTTCATTCAAAAATAACAATGTATAGCAAAAATTAAAGTGGTTTGAGATTTTTTAAGGAGAAAAATAAAATTGACAAATACAATTTTCTTATTTCTTAGTTATTAATCTTCCATCCCTACCTCCCCCCTCCACAGCCAAGTCATTATATGTTTATGTTGGATATGTCCTGTATTTATTTTGTACGTATACTGTATTTATTTATCTGTGAATATGTAGTATCTTCTAGTACACTGTAATCATCTTGAAGATGGGGTCTCACTTTTGTGTTTGTGTCCCCCGTGCCTAACATAGTACTTGGCACATAGAAGGTACTTAATACTTGTTGACTTACTATTAAAATTACATTATATCTCAAATTCCCAATTCTTGTAGAATAATTTCAAGTCCATTCAGATTCAACAAATGTTAATTAAATATCTCTTATTTGTAAGACACTGATCTATCCCTCCTACCCAATTTTCCTCTCCACCCAAGTTCATCTTGCTCAAAATTGTATTTCAAAAGACACTAAGAATATAAAGGTAAAAGCTCTTTAAAAGAAAACTTGGTTTATTTTCATTGTTTTATTTTAGTAATTCACATTATAATTAGATTCTATCATAAATGTCACAACTTACGATACTGAAATTTATTCTAGCAAGTTTTTGTTATAGGTAAAAGAACTCTTCACTGATTTGGGAGTAGAATGTAATATCTTGGAACTTGATCTAGTTGGTAAGTAAAATATTTAGGATGTGGTGCTGATATGCAATTTTTGTAAAATGTATTAGTTCTTCAACTATTACAAGTAAGGTGAATCATTCTGATCAGCCTTTAGCAATGCATTTTAAAGGTAGTGAACTAGTGTGGGCTAAAATGCAGAATATTTGGTTCAGACTTACATTTTCAGGATGGAGAAGGGAGCAGAATTTCATTTTTAAGTCAAGGTAAGGCAAAGAAAATGGAAAGAAATAACGCTTGTTACCAGTTGGGCCTAGTTCTTCTTGAAGACTCATTCATTTCCTTTTCTTTACCATTGAGAATTCCCATAACAGATAAAGTTTGATAAAGTGTTCATGTAACCTTAACAAGTGAAATAATTTTGAGCTGTTGGAGTCCCAGGTTGGGGGTGGGGGAGGCAGGGTGCAGGAGGAGAAAATTTTAGTTTTGACTTTGCAGTGTTTTTTTCAAATGTAATCATAGAAAGAAGCATTTTGCTAATTAATACTAATCTTAGGTTTTTTACCTAAGAGATTTATTTATGTTAGTATAATGAGTGGATTTTATAAGAAAAGCAAAGTCTGTTAACCGTCCTTCTTCATTTACCTTAAGTTTACTTTTAAGGCTGGCTCGTTTCCATTCAGAATCTTGATTCTGTATGTACTTGATTTTCAGTATATACATCTGAACTTAAACTTTTACATAAAAAGACTTCATTCAGTTCATTTCTTTGAAAATTTTCTCAGCATCTTTTAACTTTTTATTCCTTAGATGATGGACCCAGGGTTCAAGAACTATTACTGGAGATAACTAGTCAAAGGACCGTGCCTAATATATTTGTGAATAAAATACACATGGGTGGATGTGATAAAACTCTTCAGGTAATGTTGTTTACTTTGAGGCTTGAAGCCAAGCGAATGTATGGGATTATAGGTCCTTTCTAGCAGCAAGGCTGTAATTAAAGACTGCTTGCCAGGAGAAAAGGGGAAGCCAGGTCCAAAAACAAAACAAAATAAAACCCCACAAAACTGACATCTGCTTAGAATGGGGAAGCAACGCTACTGATAGCAGTAATCTAGGGAGGTAATTGGACATCTCCATGTAAGTGCTGGGGGTACTGGTTGAATTCCCAGCATGCTAAGCAAAGCTTCATGACTTTGACTAAATAGGCCCTTGTTCTATTTAAAAATTCAATAAGGAAATCAGAATTCTGTTTAAAAGCAGAATGAAAATAAAATAAGATTAAATCAAGTAGTGATAGATGGTGGTTGAAGATTGTTCAGGAGGAAACAATTTGTATTGTACATTTAGATATGTTTTTAAATGTTCAAAGGGAGGTGGAGGGAGATGTTATAACTCTATTAAGAATTAGTTTGTACCAGTTCAGTGGTTTTTGACAGATTGTAATATATGAGAAATTCTGTTAGGTAGTTAATAGATAATCTTTATTATCTGATGCAAATTAGCTTTTACACCAACTCCCAGGGAAATTCTCCTGATTGGAAAGAGAGCATCCTGGGATTTTACACAGACCTGGGCAAGTCACAGAGCCTCCTACCTATGTGTGAGTACCTGAGGTGGTAGTCTCACTTATGCTGGTTGAGGAATTACCTTGAGAGAAGTTTACTGTCTTGTGAGGAAGGTATAGGAAGGAACCTTCTCCAAGAGAGCAAAATGAAGTCCCAGATGATATTTTTGGTTAGGTTAATTAGACTTACCAAGAAGTCATTTATTTAATTAAAAAAATACTTTATTGATGTGTTTTGTTTTCTACATCACATTCATTTCCAAATATATCTCTTCCTTAGCCCCTTACCTAGTCATCCCTTGTGACAGGTTACAAAAGAACAAATCGAAAAAGCCAGTCAGCAGAACCAACCGAAACATCACCTGTGCCTGACAATATGTATAATATTCCACTATCAGAGTTCCCCACTTCTGCAGTACGGGGAAGGGTCATATGCATTTTTCTCAGCTTTTCTCTGGGCCAAGCTTGGTCATTATGATTATACAGCCTCCATTTTCCTTATATTGTTCTTTCCATTTTATTTCTATAGTTGGTTGTATATGTTTTCTTAGTTCTGCTTATTTTGCTCTGCATCAGTTTGTATGAGCCTTCCCATATTCCTCTGAATTCTGTCATGTTTATCATTTCTTGTGGCATGGTAATATCCTATTATCTTCCTGTGTCCTAGCGTGTTTAGCTGTTTCCCAGTTGATGAGCACCTATTTTGTTCAAAGTTCTTTGCTACCACAAAAGTGATCAGTAAGTCATTTAACAGAATTGGTCAGCAAGCTTTTATTAAGCATCTATTATGTGCCAGGTGCTGGGGGTGGGGAGGGGAAACAAAGCCAAACATGGAACAGTCCCTGCCCTCAAGGAGCTTATATCCTGTTGGAACATACGTATACCCTTATAAGTAAATTAAAAATGTATACAAGGCAAATACAAAGTAATTTTGAGGGAATCAGGAAAGGCATATGTAGGAAGTGGCACTTGAACTAGGTAACCTAAAAGAAAGAGGTCAGGAGAGTGCTCGCCAGGCATGGGAAACAGCCTGAGCAAAAGCGTGGCGATGGGAGAGGGAGTGTGGTGGACAAGGTGCAGCAAGTAGGCCAGTTGGACTGGCATGTGGAATGTGTGAAAGGGGCGGCCTGAGAAAGCTGCAGATGGCAAGGGATGCCATGTTACAAAGTTGGGGGCTTTTTAACATGTAAAGAACAATAAATAAAAGAAAAGGAAGGACTCTCCTTAAATCCGTGTAAAGAAAATCAAGATTTAGTTTGAATAGTAATAGATTATTGAAGTTCAATCAAAATTAAGCAGTAGTAGAAAATAGTTGAAGTTTAGTCAGAGAGGTCCTTTATGTAGGTATTTGTGACTCTTTAAATATTGTTCTTTATTGTGTACTTTAAAAATGCATGCAGATGTTAGGAAATAGCGATTGTTAAATAAGTAAAAATGTTTTTAAAACATTGTAACAGTAATATCCATAATGGAGTTAATTTTCATTCAGTGGATTATTATCTGCATGCAAAGAAAACCAGGGCTGGGAGCGGATGTGAAAAGGTCAGTAATCTCAGTTGGTTAGAACATGGTGCTTCCAAGGCCATAATCGTGGGTTATATTACTTGATTTTACATCAGTAAAACCTTTGCAAGGCCGCAGATCCTAATCTCAGCTAGCTCTCTTGTAGCTAACTACAGAGCATTGATCGCAGGGGGGTATGCCAAATGACAAAATGCCTAGTACATACTGTAGCTGCTATTGAATAAACAGCTGAAAACGCATGGGCATTATTATCCTCATAAATGGAGAATATAGCACTTTTTTAACTATGTGGAGATCTTGGAAAATGATATTTTCCAGTTGATGACCAACAGATATAAAATTTTGGTGACCAGTCCAAGGGAAAATGATCTGTAGCTGAAGTAGGAACAAAAATGTGGTCTCTGGACAGGGGGCATTTACTGACTGTCAGGCAGTAGAGCGCACTCCCCAGAAGCACCAGTGTCCTTCGGCATGGTTTTTGACAGGTCAGGTCCTGTGAGGAATCTGGGATTACTGCTTGTGTAGCTTCCAGACTGGTTTTTTCCTAAAATGGTTAGCAAACCAACATTGATTGAAGAGAGTGAAACTGAATTAGATTTTAAGGAAATCAATGTGACTTGCTCTCATATTAGACTTTCTGTACGCATTCTAGGCTCACCAGAATGGTTTACTACAGAGACTTCTACAGGATGACTCAGCGACTTATGAGTATGATCTTATTGTAATTGGTGGTGGTTCTGGTGGACTGGCGTGCTCGAAGGTAGGAGAACCTAAGGGAGTGTGTGGATGCTTCTCTTGCTAACTGTTAGAAGCCGTGTCTTGGAACTTTGTTTTTCTCTTTCTTTGTAAGCTGGAGTATGTGTAGCTTTAAATTTGATATTTCCTATGAAATTTCTGTTGTAATAGTCAACCTTGATAAGATGAAAGCTTGGCTTTTGTTTTTTTTTTGTGATGTGGATGACATACATAGTTTTGTCTTGTGTATTTGAGCAGAAGAAAACGTTTGGAAAAATCATAAGATTTTTTTAATATTTAGCTTTTTTTTTTGGTAGGAAGCTGCAGTTTTGGGGAAGAAGGTTATGGTGCTAGATTTTGTTAAACCGTCTCCTTTGGGCACATCGTGGGGTAAGCTATTCTGACTCCTTTTTGTTTGTGTTTCAAAATCTCCGTGTCACCAGAGTGATGTCTCGATTGTGTGAATTGTCGTTGTCAGCACTCCTGAAGAACACTTTTTCTCTTATTGCTGACTATCATAATATAAAATAAATTAGGGTTTGGTCTTGTTTCTGCCATTGTTCTATATGTCCTTAATTAGACAGCTTTTTTTTAGGCAAAAATTACAAAGAAAATGATAGTTTTTTTAATTGTCCCACCAAATGTTTAGTCCAGGGTTTTCCTTTAATTTGATTTTTCTCTTATACTTCTTTCTCAATATGCAAAAAGAAATTCAGAATTGTACATTTCTTTTGAACTTAAACATCTTAAAAAAGAGCATTTCTGTTTACAAAGTAGAATTCTGTTTCACTTGGTAATCTCATCAGGTCCCATGGATTCACAATTATTATCTCAATACTGATGATTCCAGGATCTAATTATTCGAACCTTAAAGTATCTCCTAACCTTGAATCTGCCTGTTGGATATTGAACTGGATGTCCCATAGGCATCTGAAATGCAACATCTCTAAAACTGAACTCATTATCTTTACCCTCCAATCTCTTTCCTCTTTCCACTGTTCCTATTACTGTTGAAGACACCACCATTCTCCCAGTCACCCTGGCTTACAACCTGGATGTCATCCTTGACTCCTTATTCTTTCATTACCCCCTGTCCGAATGTAGCCAAGACTTCATGATGCCACCTTCACAACGTCTCTTGTGTATTCCCCCTTCTCTCTTCTGACACATTGCCACTGTCCTGGTACAGGCCCCTATTACTTTACTCCTGAACTATTGCAGGAGCCTTCTGGTTAATGTCCTTGCCTCATGTCTCCCCTCTACTCCAGTCCATCCTCCGCTCGACTGCCTAATTGACCTTCCTAAAAGGGCAGGTCTGATTGTGTTTCTCTCTCTCTCTCTCTCTCTCTCTCTCTCTCTCTCTCTCTCTCTCTCTCTCTCACACACACACACACACACACACACACACACACACACACACACCCCATTCAGTCATCTCCAGTGGTTCTCTGTCATTTCTAGGACCAAATATAAAATTCTCTGTCATTCAAAGCCCTTCATAACTGGGCTCCTTCCTACCTTTCCAGTCTTTTTACACCTTAGTCCCTCCACATAGTCTATGAACCAGTGACAATGACCTTGCTGTTTCTCATAAAGGACCCTGCATTTTCACCAGCTTTCTCCCCATTACTTGGATTCTCTTCTTCCTCATCTTTATCTCAATCTCCAGGCCTCCCTGGTTTCCTTCCCCATCCCCCTAATTCTAGTGTTTTCCCTCTGTGATTATCTCCAGTTTATCCTTGCTGTAACTTCGTGTTTTTACCTAGTTGTTTGTACTTTGTCTCCTCCCTCAGACTGTGCACTTCTTGAAAGCAGGAACTGTTTTTGCCATTCTTTATATCCCCAGTGCTTAGTACAGTGCCTAGCACGTAGTAGGTGCTTACAAATGCGTATCAACTGACTTAATGAGGATCCCATATGAAACTATGAACCTCTTTTCCATATTGCTTGCTTTTAAATAAGAAACTGAACCTGTTTCTTTCAAAACTGCTCTCATTTTTCTGCTTCTTTCTGAGCTTCCTTTCCTTTTTCCCCAGGTCCTGTATATGTAACATCAGATCCACACCACAAATAGAATAAGTATCTCAGGCTAGCTACCTGACTACTTTTGGGACTCAAGTCTAGCTGGAACATTGACACTGTACCGTTAATTTGCTAATGTCAATATAAGTTCATTCAGTAAATCCTACTGTGATATTTCATCGAGGTGTAGTGGTGAACCTGGACTCTCAAAAGCTGTAACAGCAGAGTTGCAGCTCTGGCTGATCTTCCCAAACTGGAAGGGCTTTGAGTCTTGGCCTGGATAGTCACTGTCTGTGCCTTTTGTCAGGACCAGCCTCTAGAGAGATACGATGAATCACGTGCAGCAGCACACCATTCACTAAGGCATTGGCAGGTGATGATCTGTGTTGGTTAAAGGGGCGCCTGCAGTGATAAAATTGCTGATCCATAAGTAGATCCACAAATGGGTAAAGGCACTGGACTTGGAATTAGAAAGGCGGAGGTTCAAATCCTGACCCTTAACCTTTAGCAAATCAAGTAAAACCTTTGCACTTCATTTCCTTCATTTGTTAAATATCTGTAGTACTTTGCCATGTTGTTGTGAAAGTCACATGAGAACACATGCCAAGGGCTTTGCCAGCCTTAACATGCCATCGAAACATGTTCCACCAGTGAGATCCCAGGCCCATCCTCCCTTCCCCATCTTCACATCTCAGACACTGGCCCAGCTTTCATGGGCATCTGCCCTTAGATTTGGTATAGATAGGGCCAAGGAGGCTTTCCGCCTTTGACCTGAAGGCCACCAGAACAGTGATTTTTTAATTTTTTTCAGTAGAATAGTGAATCTAGGTCATTAATAGTTCCTTATGCCTTTCTAAGGTTTCAGATGTTACCACACATCTTGATTTTCTGTCTCATAAACAGAAAGAAAATTCAGACTCTTAGCTTGGTAACAAAGTCATGGTCATAGCGTACTATCTTGTACTTGATTTTGTGATCATAGTGGTACTATGGTTATAAATAAATAAATCTAATTTATTTTATTATTGAGCTTGATGTAGCTGAAGAAAACCTGCCTTCTTTAATCTGTTTCTGCTATCTGCTGTTATTTAAAAATCCTCGGGGATAGTTAGAGTGTAAATAATAATACCTTATTGTTTTAGCATCCCTTGCTCTTTGTTTTGGAGTGAACTTGATTGAACCTTGTGTAAGGTTGGCATTTCCCCCTTAAATTCCAAAGTTATACTGACAACACGATCATCATATGCCTTTAGTATGAATGTATGACAATAATAATTCTGCCATTCTTTTATCTTCTAATTGGGTGTAACATGTTGACCAAGTATGCTTTTTGTAGATAATTTTTATTGGGTAATCTTTCTGAAGTTCATATATCTCAGCCCATATCCCTTCCAATAACTTTCCCTTCCCGAAAAGGTTCAGCATAATTTTTTTGTATAGGTTTGGTTTTATTCTGTCTAGTTCCCCTCTGCATGCCGAAAAACTCAAGGTTCATCTTTTATTGATTGATTACTTCTTTCTGTGAGGCCATGATCGTGTGATCCATGAACTTGCTTGTTTGTTTTTTTTGATATCTTGATAACTGTATTTCAAGATAGTTGGTATCTTTTGTAATCCTATGTAGTTTATTTTATGTATTTAAAAGCGTGATTCCAAGAAGGCAAGTCCATCAAGCATTTATCAAGGGCCTATTATGTTGTGGGCCCTCTGACTCTGCTAAGTTCTGAGGATACAGAGAAAGGGAAAACAGTCCCTCCTTTCAAGAAGCTAATGGCCTAATGGGAGAGACAACATACAGACAGCTAGGCACAAACAAGGCATGGGCAGGGTAGACTGGAGGTCATCTCAAAGGAAAGGCCCTGGCATTGAAGGGCACGAGCAACGACTTCTTGTAGAAAGTGGGATTTTAGCAGAGATCTGAAGGAAGCCAGGGAGGCTGGGAGGTAGAGGTAAAGATCAGGAAAGTTGGTGAAAATGCATAAAGGCTTGTGTAAAAAACAGCAGGGAGGCCATTGTCACTGGTTCGTAAACTCTCTGGAGGGGGGAGTAAGGTGTCAAAAGACTGGAACACTTTGAATGCCAAACAGAGGGTTCTGTATCTGATCTTAGAGGTAATAGAGAGCCACTGGAGGAGTGTGTGTGTGTGTGTGTGTGTGTGTGTGTGTGTGTGTGTGTGAGAGAGAGAGAGAGAGACATGGTCAGAGCATGGAAGATCAGTCAGGCAGCTGAGTGGAGAATGGACGGGAATTGGAGGAGACTTGAGGCGGGCAGACTAACCACAAGCATGAAATGAGAGGAGGGGCCGCGTACAAGAGTTGTTGTGAAGGTAAAATGGACAGGACTGGGCAACAGAAGGGATGTAGGGATAAAAGAGAATGAGGAGTCCAGGATGATGCCTCAGTTATGAGCCTGGACAACTGGAAGGGTAGTAGTGCCTTTGACATTAGGAAGGTGTCCATAGGCTTCACTTGATTGCTAAAAGGGCCTGTGATTTCAAAAAAGCTTAAGAAGTGCTCTGGGCTTCCTCCCCAAGACTGATAGCAGGGTTTGGTATTGATCTTTAAGGGATGTCCCAAAAGTCTTAATGTAGTTGTCAACTTTTAATGGCTTAAAACTGCACTAAGACTTTTGGGACACCTTGAATTTCACCTCAGGCAGCAGTATAAGACCAACCAAATATCTAAATTATGATTTTCTTTCTTAGGTCTTGGTGGCACTTGTGTAAATGTCGGATGTATCCCAAAAAAGTTGATGCATCAGGCTGCCCTTTTGGGTCAGGCCTTAAAAGACTCCAGGAAGTTTGGCTGGGAGTATGAGGAACAAGGTAGGTAATGGGGTATGAAAAGACTAGGAGAAGAAAAAGAGTGTATCACTTACCCTTTTTTATCAGGGTGTGAAATTGCTTTTACTATGCAGAAGATTTGCGGGTGAGAATTATAAAGTCTGTTCATATAAAGTGAAAGTAGGTTATATTAGGTGTTTCAGCCCCAGACTTTTCGTTCTGGATCCTGTTAGACTGCAGATGGAGTGCTGGGAGCCCCACTTGAAGAGGTACCCTGACAAAATAGAACCTGCCCAGAGAAGACTCCTCCAGAACAGAAGGAGCCAGACACCACGTCACAAGGAAAGGCCAGAAAGCTGGGACTTCTTCACCCGGAGAAGAGAGACTTAGAAAAAAGCATGAGAACTCTCCTTAAGTGGTCAAGGGCCCTTGAGGCAAGACCCTGGGAACTGCCTTTCATTGTAGCCCAGTGGTCAGAAGGAGAAGCAGTGGAGGATGGTTCTGGGAGAGGGATTTCAAGGCCAAATGAGGATGGTTTCTAGCAGTTAGAGCTGAGCCCATCTGACCAAATGGGCTGCCTAGTGTATAAGGTTCCCTTTTGCAGGAACGTGTTTAAGCAGTTTAGGTGACAGCTCGTCAGGGAAGTAGCAAGCTGATTGCTTTGTAGTGGAGGAGATAGGAACAGTTGACTGTGGTGCACACGAAGTCAGAAGAGACCTGGGCTCAAATTCTGCCTCTAACGCATACCAGTTTTGTGGCTATGAGCCAGTGACTTGACCTGTGTGAGCCTCTGTGTCCTCATCTGTAATAGGGGTCAGATAACAACTGTTAAACAATAAAGTTTGTTTGTTGTAAAGATCAGGTGAGATGCTGCGTGTCTGAAATTCTTCATAAACCTTAGAGTACTCATCAACATAAGCTAATCTTCCAGCTCTTGAGTTCTGTGATGCTCTCCGTATGAGCCGCTGGCCATGCTAATTCCCATTTAGAGTTTGGCCACTTTTCACTCATTCAGCTTATAGCCTCAAATTTTGTTCTCTCTGCATAGCCTAGATCAAACTATACCTGGATTCTAAGTCTAAGTTCCTTGAGAAGGATGTATAATGCATTCTTATTTTATGTTCAAAATATTTAGCGTTTATTTAGTAGGTACTTAATTAGTGTCTGTTAAACATATTTATGGGGGTTGTACTAAGAAACAGTCAGCTAGCTTCTCGGCATGAACTTGAGAGGAGGATGTGTAGGAATTTCATTTTTCTAGGCCAAAGCTATACAGAGCTGCTCTGGACTTTGTCTATAGGACATAAACTGATCCCTGAGAAACCCTGGAGGTGACCCAGATGTCCACACTCCTCCATTGTTAGGTTGGACAGTGATGTTTATGGCAAGAAGACAGTGTTTTACTTCTTTGACCAGTAAATGATTCGCTAAGTTCTCAGGGAACAATTAACCTTTTTTAAAAAATCATGTTTCAGGGATTAAAAAACAAAAAAAACCCACCAGAAACCCCCCAAACTCCATTTCCTTTATGTGTGGCACTGTCCTTATACTTTCTGACCTTCACAGCTTTGAGGATGTGGAAGATTTGGAGAGCACAGGGAGCTGACTGATGAGAGCATGTAAAGAGATGGAAACTAGGCCTTCCTAGGAGATGGGCTGGGGCTAGCTAGACTACCTTTGCGACAGGATTGACAGCCCCTGCCAGCACCTAGGAACAGTCATTGGAGAGGCAACATGGTACAGGGGAGGAGAGCTGGGTGTGCAGTCTGACAGTCTGACCTCAGATCCTGCTTCTGTCACTTTTCTGACAGACCTCAGACACTTAGAGTCCCTCATTTGTAAATTAGGAGAAAGGATCCCTTCTACTTCCAGCTCTATGATCTGATGAAAAATGAGCCTTTTAATTTGAGTTAATAGCAACATAGTAACCAAATAGGATCAGGAAGCAGAACAATGTCATGGAAATATCACAGGACAGGAATTAGGAGGCTTGGGTACTAGTTTGGGGTCTGCTACTGACTAAGGATTAGGCAATAGCCAGAATCCTCTGGGTCTATCCCTTCAGTACGCATCTATTCAGTACCTCATTGTGCAAGTGGAGGCTCAAAAGCACATCTCTGCTTTCAAAGAGCTTATGTTCTACTGGGTGACATGATTTATTAAGAACAGGGAGGACAGAATTTAAAAGTAGTGATTGGACAGTGACTCTTATTTTGTAAATCAGTGGCATTAGCTTTTGTTTGCTGAAATGCCACTTTTTTCTCCTTTTCATTCCCTGTCGTTATTGCTAAGATCCCCCCAAAGTCTGAGAACTTGAAGCCTCTGCTGTAGGTTGTCCAAAATCAAATACCTTAGACCTTTGGGGAACTTTTAAAGGAAGTGCTAGGGGAAAAGGGAGTGGCTTGAGCATTTGTGGATTCTTTTTGTTTTGTTTTGAAGACTTAGTCTCCCCATCTCATCCAGACTGGAAGCATAGAGGCTCCCAATGGGCCTAATGCCACTCCTGATCAGTATGGGAGTTTTGATTGCTCTGTTTATAACCTCGGCCAGTTTTCTCCTCCTTAGGCGACCTGGTGGCCCTTCTCTTCTGGAGGCTTACTGTCCTGATGCTTAACTTAGTGTGGACACCCCATCTGCATAGCCCACTACAGCTCAGGATTCTGGAGCTCAAGACTTCCGCAAACCTCAGCCTGCCCCATAGCTGGGATTACAGGTGTGCGTCTGGCGTGGGGATTCATCACTGATGAATGATGGCTGTCATTACTTGGAATTTGAATTAGGATGTGGGTAACTGTTACTGTAGGATTCCATCCTCAGATATGTAGGAATTCATCTTGGAATTCCTGAAAGAAGTTCTACTGGAGAGGAGTTCTCTCTGAGTGATGAATAATAACTGTACTTCCAGTTTGTCTGTGAAGAAAGACTTGGGAGTGTCAGGTGGGGATGAGACCAGATAAATGGCAGTGCTAAATTTGATTGGAGATAAATTGTGGGCCATATCATGTTGTTGCTCTTCACTGTTTTCCATTTTGATTGAGCTCTATTAAAGATTGCCTCATCTTTTCTATTTTTTTTCCCCATTGCTTAGCAAATCTTTTTTTTTGGGGGGGGGAAATGACATGGTTTTACTGTTTGGCCACATGTGGAATCCCAACATGCAGGTACAGAATCAGGGTGCAGCTCCAGGTTCTCACAGGGCCAAAATCATCTTTGTATTCCTTTCAGCACTTTTTTTTGGTCTTTCCTATACTATTAATTGTTTTATTTCAATTCTATCTACAGTCTCAGGTCAGAATTCAGTTATTAAAAACACTCAGTTGATGCAAACAGTGGTTTGATACAACACACAAAATGAGTGTGAGATGTGTTTCACGCAACAGAGAGTGGACTCAAGGGGAAAACATTCCCTCAGAGGCAACACACCTCATTAATTGCTAATGGAATCATGGAACTCAAATATCATAACTGCTTTTACCTGGAGTATATTATTATTGATTCTTACTAACATCAGTTCATGTTTGAAGCAAATACTTGTCATGATTTTAGACTTTTTTGCATCCAACTCTGAGTAGCGCATCTTAATGTCATACATATTCTTATCGCATAAAGAAGACGTGTGATTGCATAAAAAAATGAGCTATATGTCTGTATATGAAGACAACAACTACAGTTTTCACAGCACTTCCATTGGTTAATTTTTAAATATTCAACATTGTTCTTAAAAAAAGAAGAGTTGGACTTAAAACTATACTATTAAAAAAATCATCCTAAGTGAACCAAATCCAGCCTTTTCTTCACTATTCATGGGTTTTAAACTTGATCTCTTTTTTTCTGACACTTTTTACTGATTGTTACTTTAAGCTCCAGTAGCACAATTCAATTTCTACTGCTTCTGGGGAAATGAGTTATGATTTGATATCAAGTTCCAGGGAAAATGCTCAAAGTTTTATTTTTCCCCAGTTGAATAAACAGTACTATGTGTATTATCTCTTGTGTTAGAATAGTGTTGTCTTCACATAGCACTCAAATAATGGTATTAGTCATTCATTTCTTTGAACACATACACCCTGTTGCATGTTGACAGGTTTGTAAGGATGCAGTGGCAGCTGTGGGTGCTGGCAAGCTCTAGACGGCAACTTTTGAATCCTTGCAGTCATGAGCCGCAGTACCTGAGTTAGTCTGTTTACTGTCTGCTTTCTTTCCCAGATGCTTGGCTTGATGTTCAAATGATCCATTTTCAATCTTCATTGCCCCTTCTAGTGGATCAAGACCTTGCTCTGAAAACTGTTTCAAGGCATTTAAAGTGGCCTTCTAAGTTGTCTTTGGCGTTTGTGGGTTGAGAAGTCTGGAAACTGCCCACAGCTCCCCTTGATTCAGTCCCCTGAGGCTTGCTCCAGGTTTGCTGAGGCCTGGTCTTTGCCTGCCCAGCCCACACTGAACTGTGCTCCTCTCCCACTCGGCACAACAGACCTTTCCCATCAACCATCTAGGTTGTCTTGGGCTGGAAATTTGTTTCACTCTGTTTTTCTGTGGGTTCTGCTACTCTAGGATTTGTTAGAGCCATTTTTTTACAGATATTGGAGGTATTCAGGGGAGAGCTCAAGCAAGTCACTGCTTTTGCCCCTCCTTCTTGGCTCCTGCTTAGCAAATCTTGACATCAGTTAGTTAAAATGTGTGGCCTCCATTAGGACGGCCAGGAGACAATGGGGAACAATTTAGTATCAGGGCTTATTGCCCTGCTCTTGAATTCTCCTAGCAGGGACCTGCCAACAAGAGGGAATCATCCTTTTGTAGACTCTAGGGGTCAGGCTGCTAATGAGGGAAATGGCTCGGTGCCCTTTTCCCACCAGTCCAGCCCTCCATTGTTTCTGTTTCATGGTTCTTTTCTCCAGGTCCTTTCAGTTTATTAAAATTAACTCAAGTATTAACCCTGTCACTTACAAGTAACACCATTTTTTTTCACCTTGGTTGAAAATAACAACAGCATTCAACAACTCTGTGAGCTTGTACAGTCTGGGCCTTTAAAACGGGTGTGTTCATGAGCCTGCGTGTATTGTTACATGAGAGCTTGAAGATATGGCATCCCGAGGTTGGAAGATAAGAGTTGGATCAGTGTTCCCATGGGAACTGCCCTCTAGTGGTTGATTCTTGGGGATGGAGGTTTGTTGGCATCATGGGTAGATCTGAGTTCAAGCGTCAAGGGCCCTTGGTTAGAATCCCAGTTGTTAACCTATCTACCCACTTTGTGATCTGGGGCAGGTCACTTCACCTCCTTCTCTGTAAAATGAGGAGTCTTTATGGTTGGGTCCTTCTGGCTCTGAGTTCTTTGAGACGCTGGGACTCCAGAAGGGCCCCAGAGGGATAGATGCCCATCCCTTTTCATTTGTCTTTCTTTCAGCTGTGCCCTTGCAACCCTGCCCTTTGTGCATGTTTAATTTTTAGAGTAGAAAGCTGTTGTACAGATGTACAGAAGTGGTGGAGACTGGAGCTCTTCTGGTGGCTTTTGTCCTCAGCATCTTGGGAACTTCTTATACTTGTTTGTCCTTGTGTGTCATGAGTGGTATCATTAAACTAAGTTTGATTTTAAATCTCAGTCTTGCTGTTTACTTGTAGTTAAGCACAACTGGGAGACCATGACAGAAGCAATTCAGAACCATATTTGCTCTTTAAATTGGGGGTACAGGGTGACTTTGAGAGAGAAATCTGTGACATACGCCAATTCCTATGGCGAATTCGTCGAACACCATAAAATCAAGGTACAAGTTCCATTTTATCTCTTGTCTTGCTTTGCTTCTGTCTGTGTGGTTATTTTAACTAAAATGTATTGCTCTAAGTATGAATTAGTTATTTGTTATCACATGCTTGACTTGTTTTGTAATCAGAATGTAGATTTTTCTTCTCCTTGCCTCTTAGGGTCTTGAGAGCTTTTGGTAAATTGAATGAATTTCATTTTTAAAAAACCTTTTCTCTAACTTAAAGTCTTGTTCCTGCTTCTAAATTAGATTGCTGTCTTAAATAACCAGAATATGTTCTGTTTGGAAACTACAAAGGGTTAAGATATTTAAAAGAGGGGCTGAAGAGAAAATAGTTTGTGTTGGTGATGCCTTATGATTTAAGACTTTAAAATATTTTGTAGGCATTAATTATTAGCACTTATGAGATGGCCATTTAAATGGTCCCCTTTAAGACCATTAAGTTGGCTAACCTATATTGTCAAATTTACTATATACAAGTGTACTGGTAAATGTTTAATAACCAGCTCTCTGGAGGAAAAATGTGCACATGCCACACTTTTAATTTTAATTTGTATTATTAACATTTTCTCCATCACTTTAAGTCTAGATAATCACCAAAACAAATCAAGTCTTGATTTGCAACATTTGCTAATATCCAAGCTGTAAATGCTTTTGGTTTGAACTAGTTCCAGCAAAGCCCTGATACCAACCAGTTAAATTGTTTGTTCACATTCTAATATGCATGTTCTTATGTTTGTATTGAATTAATACAAAAATCATTTAGCAAATCCTTATTGAGTGCCTGCTATATACAACATTATTTTCAATACCCCTAAGGTCTCTTTCAGCTGTTAAATCTCTAAGTCTATAATCTTGCTACCTATTTGTTTGAAAAATGTGTGTGTGTGTGTGTGTGTGTGTGTACATATGCATATACACACATGTATTGTGCTTGCTGGCTTAGGTTATAAATTTGTAGGGGGTGTGACTACATCATTGAAATTCTCTTTGTGGTGTATGTAGTATGGTACTACATGTGATTAAGCACATAAATCTTTGTGATGGTGTCTTATTACATATATGCTTTCAGGAAAATATAACTGCCTTCAGTTGTTTCACCTTCTGTTTTTCCAGGCAACCAATAGAAAAGGACAGGAAACTTTTTATACTGCAGGGAAATTTGTCATAGCAACAGGTGAAAGACCCCGGTATTTAGGAATCCCAGGAGATAAAGAATATTGTATCACTAGGTAAGGTACAACTAAAAGGGGACCTTTACTTTAAATTGTATTATCTTTATAATTAGAGGAAAATTGCATCAAAATTTGAATGAGTTAGTTTCTTTTTAGGTATAAATGGTTTTGTTTTTTCCCCATCTAGTGATGATCTTTTTTCCCTGCCTTATTGTCCTGGAAAGACTTTAGTTGTGGGGGCTTCTTATGTTGCTCTGGAGTGTGCAGGATTCCTTGCTGGCATCGGGTTAAATGTTACAGTTATGGTGCGGTCCATCCTTCTTCGTGGTTTTGATCAGGAAATAGCTGAGAAAATAGGGGCTTACATGGAACTGAATGGTGTAAAGTTCCTCAGGAAATATATACCTGTGAAGGTGAGTTTGTGGGGTTTGGGCATCCTTTCAAAAAAAGAAATCCTTCTGTACCTTAACATTTTCCTTATCCTACCCTCCTCAAATCAACCAGTTCTTCTGGGAGGAAATCTCATAGGGAATAGCAGTTGCAGATTTTCCATCTAAATTCATAAGAACAAAGAAAAGAGTTTTTCATCACAGATATTCTTCTGGGAAGCTGAAAGTTGTAGATACATTGATTGAGGATTTACTGCTTTCTTTGGTGTAAACATACAATTTATTGTTATTAGATTCAGCTTTTAGAGGAAGGCACACCTGGAAGACTGAAAGTGGTAGCCCAATCTACAGAAGGGTCGGAAACTGTTGAAGAAGAGTATAACACAGTAAGTTTGCAATATAATATATCCCAGTACATTTTCCAGGGTTAAGAGTCTGAAAAAAAAAGTTAGATCCAGGCTAGGAATATATTCTAGGTAATAATTTGTGAGAGACAGCAATGACTTAGTGGCTAGAAAGTTGGCTTTGGAGTCAGTAACTATAGGCAAGGTCTTTAACCTCTCAGTGTTCCAGGCAACTCTCAAGGTGATAATGTATAGGTAAGTTGCTGATCTGCATTGGTGGAAAGAATTTTCACCTTGGAAGGTCCCCCTCAAATTCTGTTAAAATAGGTAAATCCATCTGGTGTTGAGAGCAGGACTTGAGGCTACTCAGTCTTACTGTTAATGATGTTGCCCTCCCTGTGGCAGCAAGAACCATGGAAAGAATGAGTGAAAAATCTTGTGTGCTGTTAATATTTATAAGCCAGGTGTTATGGATGGGGAGCCTGCAGCCTCAAGGCCACATGTGGCCCTCGAGGTCCTGAAGTGTCACCCTTTGCCTGAATCCAAACTTCACGAAACAAATCCGCTTAATAAAAAGATTTGTTCTGTAAAACTTAGACTCAGTCAAAGGCTGCACCCAAAGACCTAGAAGATGTCTTTGAATATGTTTTACCTGACAGATTATTTTTTAAAAGGCTTCCATTATCACAAGTGTAACTGAAGCTTTTCATAATAGAGATGAAGACCTCCTCTTGGCCCTCTGTACCCAGTTGTGATCACTAAATAGCTTGCTTCTGGGAGTTTGAGGTGTTCCCATTTGATGTGGAGAAAAAGAGTGGCTTGACCACTTGAGTGGGATGAACATTTTTCTTTTTCCTGACCTTCATAAGAAGTATTCTTGGTGTTAATAGGATCTGACGAGAGTTTCAAATTAGAGATATGAAATAGAAGGTTGTTCAAGGAAATTGAGCTGGTACGGAAGAAGGCATAGAGAATCGGTGAAGAAAGTAAAGTGGGTTTGAGAGCAGGTTTATTTGATTGAAGCTAAAGAAGTGAACAAAAGAACAGGAAGAGATAGTAAGAATCAACTGGTAGAAGGACTTGGAAGTTAATTGTGAATCGGTTAAGTCTTATGAAGGGCGGTGGGTGCCATAGAACCTAACATAACAATGAAGAGTTTTTGGAAGGAAGTGATTTGTTCAAAGTGGCCGATAAAAGAAGATAATTTTAGCAGCCACGTTTTGGATTGAAAAAAGCCAAAAGCCAAGGAGAAGAGTGGGACAATCTATCATTTAAGCTTCTCTGTTTCGGTCTGTTTAATGTGCGTCATTTGACATCTCTATCCCCATGCCTCCTCCTGCTTCTTCCCATCCCCTACTTTTCTTTGTCTTTCTATTTCCTTATTTAACAGTGAGAATTTATTTCTTGGGCTATAAGATGCAGTCTTGTGTTTTGGTTAAACAATTATTTGAATGATTTTAAAATGTAATGGTCTTTGTAAACTAAAGAGGTTTCAATTCATTAGAGAGGTAAAGCAGATATTGCTACCTCAGCTATTGGCATGAAATATTTCTTAAACATATTTTTATTCTGAACTTAAACACCATTTCCTTACTCCTAGAAGAACACAAATGGATTGTATGTGAAATTGCAGATGTCTGTTATGGAGAGCCTGCTTTTCTTGTGAAGTGTATCCTAAGTTCAGCTTGTGGCTCTCAGAGCTGTTCTGCTTGTCTGTGCTTCTTTCTGTCCTACCTTCTGTGCTTATGAAATGTTATTTTGAGTAACTATTTGGATGTTGCTTGCACATCATAACCAAAACATCCAGGCCAGGCAAAGTTTATTCTCAATGTCATATTTTTGCTTTGCCATTACCTTTGAATTCTTAGTCTTGACAATCTGAGTTCTCAAGTTATTCAGGGGAAAATGAGCTTTAATAGCTAATGAAACTATTGGTAATGAGTAACAGAGGGTACAGAACATAACTTAAAATCTATCTGGTTTATACATAGTAGTTATCATATCTATCTAATATATAGGTTTTGTTAGCCATTGGTCGAGACTCCTGCACAAGGAAAATGGGCTTGGAGAAGGTTGGTGTCAAAATCAATGAGAAGTAAGTGTATATGACCTTATTGATATTTTACTGGCACAAAACACATTTTCATTACAGATGGCTACTTGGAAATTAGCACTAAACTGGTAAGGTGTGAAATTGCCATGAAATGTTAATCTTTTAAGTTTGTCTTCAAAAAACGTGCTGTTCTCACATCATTACTGATAATCATGATACTTTTATAGGTACTAAGCCTTTATTGAGCGCATCGAGTGTTTATTATTCTGTAGTCTTGCATAGTAAAGCCGTTATGGAAGTACAATTACCTACTAACAGTGGTTTCTAGGAGATACCCAAGCAGTATGATATGATGGGATCCTATGTGGTCAAGATGACTCTCAGGTACAGACTGTAGAGAGAGTCTGAAGATAGTCCGGGAAACATTGGCAGGATTGATGTGCCATTTAGTTGGATGATCAATGACTCACCATTTGTTGAGGCTGTAAATAGAGAAGCTTGAGTCATTTGAAGTTATTGTGTATGGCTAATATCTGACAAGAGATATTGTGGATAATGCTGGTGTCTCTTCTTTTTGAGATTAGAAAACTAACCAGTCAGAGGTCTTGTTTGTGGGGCTAGATTCAGACACCCTGTTCCTATGGATAGGGGACCGATTTAGTTCATTTTCTATTATCTTTTTCTCTTTCTGACCCCCCACCCCCTTCGCATTTGGGGTTTATTGGCTGGGGAATTGGTATACTCTGAGGTAGGCAGGTGGCTTAGGAAATGTAATTTCCATTCTTGTTAGTGCCTAATGGGCATTAAACTCTTTGTGGGAAGAGTGCCAAGAAGATAGGATGTGTGAAGGGCCCAATTAATCTATGAAGTACAATATGTATTTTTATTCCATTAACATGAGCTCAATCATAATTTTTAAAAATTTTATCCATTTAAACTTAGGACGGGAAAAATACCAGTAAATGATGAGGAACAAACCAATGTGCCCTATATTTATGCTATTGGGGATGTGTTAGAGGATAAGCCAGAGCTCACCCCGGTTGCTATACGAGCAGGAAAGCTGTTGGCACGCAGACTTTTTGGGGGACGGTTAGAAAAGGTAAGTGCATATGTGCTCTCTGAGGTTGGGTTAATATGTTGACATCAAAATGCTTTGAGTTTGGGTTAACATTGTAGATTGAAATGATTTCACTAGTATCTATATCCCATTGGCAATTGTTGCAAATGTAGAGGAACTTTTTGAGAGAGAAAAGATTTTGAACTATAAATTAAGAGACTATACTACAGCAAATTGGGGGACATCCCAATCTTGTGTGTGTGTGTACTGTGTGTGTACACACAACACACTCAACAGGCGAGTAGAAGGCCTAAGAGAACCTCCTTCAAAATGACTGGTAATTTGCTATTAATCTCTCAGTTTTTATGCAAATCAGTGTAAAGGATTGAAGTGCTTGAAAATAATTTACTCTCAAGTAACTTATTTCCCCAGAAGTCTTCTTTATAATAACCATTAATTTGTATTTTCAATGAAAAAGGAGGTTCATTTAAGAAAAGGGAAACTGCAGGCTATCTCATCCTAAGTTATCCTACAGTTGAATTTGGGGGAGTCTGCCCTCATGATTTTTTTCTATATTTCAAATTATATCTTAATAGTGTTTTAAAATTTCATCCCATTTTTAAGACTGTCATTCCTGAAAGGGACAGAGATCATATCATATGCTTCTTTTGTAGCTTTCACAGTATGGATCGGAGTTGTTAGATATATAGTAGGCACTGAGATAAATATTTGTTAAATTGAATTAAAATCATGTTTTTGCTTCAAATATAAATGCTTACACATAGATTCTGTTGCTGTTTAAAGGATTATGAAATAAAGGAGTATGTGTTTTATCTTTTAGTGTGATTACATTAATGTCCCAACTACAGTGTTTACTCCTTTGGAATATGGTTGCTGTGGATTATCTGAAGAGAAAGCCATGGAATTATATAAAAAAGATAATATTGAGGTAAGACTAATTACATTAGCTTTTGAAGGACATCTCATTTATAATTAGCCAGCACCCTCCCTCATTGTATTTTAGCTCATAATGGTTTCCAAATGTTTTGTTGTTTTGTAGTGTTTTATATAATTAATGCTTTGCTACAATTCACATTCCCCTTCTAAAAGAGCTACCAATAAAGCATCCTTTGTTTAGTAAATGAAAAGAAGGACTTTTTAAAAATTAAATTTTACTTTTTTTTAATTAAGAGGATTTTTTTCCCTCTTCCTCCTGTCTGTCTCTGTCTCTCTCTTTCTGTCTGTCTGTCTGTCTCTCTCTCTCTCTCTCTCTCTCTCTCTCTCTCTCTCTCTCTCTCTCTCTCCCTCTCCCTCTCCCTCTACCACCTTGGGGGAAAAGAATGAAAAACAAAACCATTGACAAATATGCCTAGTTAAGCAAAACAAATTCCCATATTACTCATGTGCAAAAATGTTCTTCATCGTTATTCCTCTGGAATCATGATTGATCGCTGTGTTGATCAGGGTTCTTCAGTCTTTCAAATGTGTTTGTTTTCTCAGTGTTACTACTCTGTGACATCCTCCTGGTTCTGCTCATGTCACTTAGCATCAATACTTTAAGGTCTTCCCAGCGTTCTCAGCACTATCCCCTTCACCATTTCTTATAGCACAGTAATGTTCCATACATTCATATACCCTATTCTCAAGGAATTTGGACTGTCCTAAAGGTCTATCAGGTCAGGAGACTTGGAGAGTTATTAATGCTTGATGTTGTAACAGAAGAGCAGTTAAATCTCTCAGTTCTCTAAGCAGGAAATATTTCCAGTTTACTTCAACAAACATTTATAAAGCACCTACTGTGTTGCAGATTGTGAGAAGTACTCTGGACACAACACAAAAACTAAATAGTCCCTGCCCTCAAAGAGTTTTTTCCTACTACACACAGATAAGTAAGTAGGTATCTAGGTGGTGCAGGGGGTATAGTGCTGCGCCTGGAGTCGAGTTCACATCTGCATTCAGCTTCAGGCACTTAATAACTGTGTTATTCTGGGAAAGTTATTTAACCTTTATTTGCCTCAGTTTCCTCATCTTTAAAGTGGGGATAATAATAGCACTTACCTCACAGGGTGTTGTGAGAATCAAATGAGATAATAATTGTAAAGTGCCATATTGCCTGGCACGTAGTAGGTGCTATGTAAATACTTATTTCCTTCTTTTCCCTCCCTTCCCCCAAATACACATTTACAGAGTAAATACAAAGTGATTTTGGTATTTTGTAATTTACAATGACCAAATTTTAGCACGCAAATGAGATATGGAAATATGCCTCCCTCGGCTTGTCAGAGGGCTGGGGAACTCTGGGTGTAGAATATGGCACACAGTGACGTGTGGTCTTTATGTTGGCTGATTTTGCTTAATTGTTTTTTCTTTGAGGAAAGGTCACTGGGTAGGGGAGAAGGAAGGGCGTACTTGAATGACAAAACTTTAAAAAAATCTAACAAGATAATTTCTGGTGTAGAGAACTGCTGGCGGCCAAGCCACCACTTCCTGGGACGTGTTATCTGGACTCCAGTGTTGTGGAGGTGCAGGGTCATTTTTATAACGCTGGCGGAGAGACTGAAACTTACTGGATGTAAGGGGAGAGGCAGTTGGGGGGAGATACGTGTTGATATGGAATTAGGTTTACAGCAGTAGTTTTCAAAATGGTATGCCCCTCTCAGGGAACATTTTTGAACTCACAGTCCTACTAGAGGTAACCATAATTTATAGATCCTGTGTGTGTACCATTGTATTGCTATATTGTCATTGTAAACTTGTCCAAAACAAGACATTTTAAGACAATGACATAAAGGATTTAACATAGTTTTTTATTATTTGTTAACAGTACAAAAGTATGTAAGTATGTGCCTGACCTTATTTCTTTGTTGTGTGGGCTGGGTATGTTCGCCCCGCTTTTGACACATCTGGGCACGTGAACCCAGGTGAGGCAGGAGGGGAGTAGTGGTGGGCTTGGTGCGTTCAAGGGAAGCCTGGTGCCTTTGGATACCATTGCTGTCATCTTCCCCAGGTTCTGTTCCTATGGGGTGGAACTTTTGGTTCCCTTTTCCTTGATACTGAGAATGCTCTGTCATCATCATCTCCCTGCCTCAGCCATGAATTTGAGAATTGAGTGATTACTCATTTCTGTGAGATTCCATCCCCTACTACATGGGGGGAATGGTGCCGGTCCCTTTGGGTATAGGAGCCCCCAATCTGTAAGCCCTTCTCCTTATTGCCTCACATGCTGCCCTGTAGAGAGGATTCCCATTGCTCTTCCAGTAGGGTCTCATTCTAGCATCTACCTACTTCTTTCCTCTTCCTCATAGATTGTCTTGTGCACCTCCATTTGGAGACCCCTTTTTTAGAGAATATGATTTGTATTTATATTCATTAAGTGAACTAAGTTTATTGTGATGGAATTTTAATTGGGTCTTAGAAAGCTTGATAGTAGATATTCCATACTTAACTTAGCTTTTAAGCTTTTGGAAATTAAAAGAGGAACAGGAAGGTAAAAATGTAGGCATGGGAAAGGTGAGTTTGTCAAGCAGTACCCCAAGAGCAGGTTTGCCTTTGTAGAGAGTGGGTGCCTCAAGTCTGGGGTTCTGAAAGATTTGAAGTTTGTAAGGTTTGCTACACAGGTCAGTCCCCTCTCATTTTTTCTTCAATGTAAAACAACTTTTCTGAAAGGATTCTCCTATTAATAGTTTGTAACCATGACTAAATGCAGTATATAAATGAATACATTGTATAAGTAAGTATGTTTTGTAGTCATTCAACTCTGATACTCAGTGCTCCTATTAATTTCAGATTTCTACCCCAAAAGATTTTGCCACCAAAATGAAACTCTCATTCTTGGTTTACCAGTTTAATTGCACATCCCCCAAGTAGTCAGAATAAAATCAATGCATCACCTCTTGCTTATTTCTGCACAGGCTGCATCTGCTTACCACCCTGTAGTGGGTTTTTGTTTCTGAAATGACTGTTTAGAAGACCACCTGAAGATGGGTAGTGAACTGATTGATGTCTTCCCTCTTCCCAAATATCCCAACTTCTTTTCTTCAATCAGTGTAACTCTTAGCAAACAACTGACAGTTTTGCTGAGAGAAAATTTGGGTTTTTTGAAGGCTCTACAGAGCTCATGGTTGTTGACTGTGCCCACCATATGCATGCCTTAATATAGGTTAGGGGTTGGAATATGATGTGAGGAATTTTAAATATATCTTAGCCACTGGATATATTAAAAATGCAGTTACTTTCCTCTACTCTTCTAAACCTATTTTCAAATCAAGTATTTTTTGAGTGTCTTCAAACTAGTGTAAGAAACTAAAAAAAAAAAGTCTGCACAATTGTGAATCTGTAATATCAGGAGGGATGCGGGCCTAAATCACAAGTTAAGCGATTTAGATTATGGGATGTAAACTTGTAACACTTTTTTTCCCCCCAAAGAATCTTGTTTTTCTTGGAGATTTACAAGAAAATTAAATTTAAGTAAATCATTTTCTGCCACAGTAAAATTTTTCCCCCAATTCTCTTCTAGGTATATCATACCTTTTTCTGGCCTCTTGAATGGACAGTAGCCGGCAGAGAAGACAATACTTGTTTTGGAAAGATAATTTGCAATAAACGTGATGATGTATGTATTAGAAGTGGACATGAATTAATAACCTTGAGAGGCTAACTTTCATTCGTGAAATCTGAATTTTGGTGATGAACTACAAAGAGATTTGATTGCAAAGCACATTATTATTCAGATAATTATTCAATTAATGTTTATCTGGCTGATTGAGAAAATGACAAGTTATATAATTGATGCTTAATAGTGTCATATGCTTGTAATTGTTTTCATTTTAAAGGTGTTCTTACTTGCATTTTAAAATTAGACATAATCTTTAGAAGTTTAGTCATCAGCTAATATCACTTGTGGCTTTGGATTTTGTTTTTAAGTAAATTTTTGTTCTTACAGAAGAACTTTGAAAAGGGTCTCATTTGCACAAGGTACAAAAGTGAAGATTCCTAATATGGAGGAAAACATTTGGAATAGTCTAGAAAGAACAAAGATTTGTTTCATATTAAGTTCTTCTCTTGCAGTAGTTTTACCTGCTTTTTTGCCTATACTAATAATAGTAAAGTCACAGGAAACTGTTAACACTTTCATCAACAAACATTTATGGAGTCACCTACTCTGCAGACATTGGAGATACAGAGAAGGACCCCCAGTCGATATCTTGTGGAGACTTGTGTACAAGACAACTACAACTACAAGATGGTGTGTGATTCCTGCTCAGTGAGCAATTAGACACTAAGTGCTATGGCACTCATTAATTAGAGTTCTCCTCTGCCTGACACTGGTGTATGTCTTCAGTACCATGACAAAGGATGTTCTTGATGATGGTCCTGAGACCCTGCAACATTATGAAATGCTGTCTGAATCACGAAGGAGAAATAGAAATTGTGTTCATATTTTCTGGTGTAGTGTATTTTATTGGGTTCTGATCTTTAATTTTTTTTAAACTTGCTAATTCCCATAGAGCACATAAGATAACAGACCCTACCTCATTTGATCTACGTCTACTAATGGTAAAGGGAAAGAAGGCTAGTTAAGTTTCTCCCTTTTCTCCAGGGATGGGTGGGGATTGGATGGAAAGATACCTGTTTGACCAGAGGCAGGACTAGACTAGTCTGGATTGGGAAGTCCAGGATAAATTGGGAGAAGCTGAGGCTTGCAATTTCCAAACTCGTCCTGACATTTTAACTGGCATTGGTACATACCAGGTGCTTCCAAGCCCCCAGGCAAAAATGCTATGTAGGCAAAATTGCAAAATCGGTTTTTGTCTTAACACCTCACTCCTCTGAACAGCTCCTAATTCCTATGCAGTTTCCTCACATTGCCCTCTGGCCATAATTTCTGTCTTAGGCCTGTCCTCTTTTCTTATGCCAATCAAAATTCTCCTTCCTGGTGTGCTGTCCTATATAAATAATGAGCTCGTAGATTTGTGGAATGTTGGGGCTTGGAAATCTGCTTATCTGATTGAAATTATTTATACTGAAGCATATATAAAGTTTAGCTTTCCCTTGATGGCATTTGAAGGTTAAACCAGGAAATGAGTCCCTAATTGGTGGACTGGGAGGGGAGTATAATTTGAGCTTGTGTTCTTGCTTTACCCTGGCCATCACTTTGTCCCTGGGATTCCTTCCCTTTGCCCATACTGCCAGAGAATATAAAATAGCCATTAATTAGCAATGCATCCTCAACAATTTCCACTCCAAACCCTGCTTCCTCTTTACAGGTAAAACAAAGGGGTCATTAAACACTGGACATCTCTAGTATCTGACGTCTTTCTCAATTTTCTTAGAGCCTCTTTGCTGTGAAAGTCCTGTATGACCAGACTTGCCATTGTTTTGTGATTGTTGGATAGTTAAAAGATGGCGAATAAGGCATAATAGGAAGTTCAGGCTTAAAAATTAACTGTATAACCCAAAAAGAATACAGATTTTTGAGAGTTGACCTAAAGGTTACTTATAATTTCAGTAGTAAGATTCCATTGTCGGGTAAAGGAGAAGATAGAAGGAAGTCCTAGATAAATGTCAATACTGGCTTTATAGTAAAATAATATCTTTGGCTCCATTTTATATTTTCAGCATAAAAACTCTTCTTTGGTGGGTATTTGTAGTAACAAGTGATGAAAATTGAGTATAACTGAATGAGCATTGTGTTGTTGGGGAGAGGTTGCTTTACCAAACATGTAGTCAATTTATCATTCTCCATGTAAAAAAAAAGTTTTACTATATTTTTATTTTATATCTTTATATCCTTTTATAATACAGGGTGTATTACAATACCTTGCATTTTTATGTGACATCCATTTTCATTTATGTTCCACATCCTCCTTTTTCCATTTCCACTAAAGAACGTTGCTTCAAGATCAGGACATTAATTTCTGTTTGACAAAGACCTCAGTGGCCCAGTGTTTAGAACACTGGACCTTGAAACTTAGTAGCTCTGTGATGGTTAGGCAAGTCACTTAACCTTCTCTCTGCCTCAGTTTCCTCTAGAATCACTGGAATGTCAGAAATAAGGTAAATGCCTTGCAAAGCATTACAAATGTTAGTTTTCTGTAATTTCAGTTTTTTGTTTCGTTTTTTTTAAAGGAGCACAGTTGTAATGAAGGGATGCAAATGATCCCTTCCAAACAGTCATGTCCAAATGGCATTATCTCTGGGGCATGTGCTTTAGAAGGCACTCTTTGTGGATTCTCACCACTCTGATAAAAGACGCCTTCACGGCCTTCTTGATGGCACACTGTGGGTACTTCATGATTTGTCTCATATCCATGCATTTTAAAGTGAATTGTTCTGGCTTAGGGAGCTTAGGAGTGAAAGGCTGAAGGGCCCATAGAGATATCTAATTCTGTCTTTTTATTGAGGAGGAAACTGAGGGCCAGAGAATTAAAGGATCTTGCTTCAGCTGATGCTTCTAGTCAGGAGCAGAGCTGGGAATGGAACATAGGATTTCTGCCATTTCCCTTTTTTAAAAAGTCACAAAAATTCTTGAGTTAATGTAGCCAGTTGCCAAGATTTTCACAGATTGTATCTAATTCTAAAAAGGGAAAAAGAACAGTTCCTATCTTTCAGGAGTTTGCAGTCCAGTTGAGTGCTTGACATTTTATGTTATAACAGCATACTATGTTATCTATATGTTAAACAGACTTAGTTCTATATGACAGGATGGATCATTTAAACAAATCTTCACAATGCAGCCCAGCCCAGATTTCAGCAAGAGCTGTCCTATTTTGCCCACTTTTATGTCTTTCTCTGCCTGTTGTACACATTTGGTGTTTAGGAATCTAGTTTAGTAGTGAGTATTTAGTCATCTAATTTAGTAATGGATGAATGGAATCTGAGAATAATCAAAAGAAAAGTAGCCTGAAAGTTAATAACACTTTCACTGGAAAATTTCCTGAGAGAAGAATGTAGAGTCTTTGTGCACAACTGCACCCATGGCCTCCAGACACCTGGCTGGAGAATTAAGTAAAATTCTGCTGGAGGCTCTGCTTTGAGCTCTGCGTATTTTCTGTCTGGAGCCTTGGCCAGTAACCCCTGAACTTGCTGTAATATCAGCCTCTTAGGAATATTCTGATGCTGGACTTTGATTCTGATTTGTTATGCTGATGTTTAGTAGCACTTGAGCATAATTCTAAAATTTACATCATACTAATGAACTCCTTCGTGCAGTTGTTAAATTGCTTGTTCTGGTAAATTTGAGAGCAAATTAACTCTAGATGTGCATTTACTGCCTCATTTAACTGATTCTTACAGCAGCTCCATTTCATGATAATGTCCTAGACACAGCTCCAAAATAGGAGTATTGTTCTGTAGTAGAAGCTTTATGTACACTCCAGCTTTGAAATCATGGTGAAGGCATTGCTGTTCAGACTTTTAACCTAGGGCTTTTTTAATTTTGTTTTTCATAAAGAACCGGGTGATAGGATTTCATGTTCTTGGCCCCAGTGCTGGTGAGGTTACCCAGGGCTTTGCAGCTGCAATGAAATGTGGCCTCACCAAGCAGTTGCTTGATGACACTATTGGCATCCATCCTACCTGTGGTGAGGTAAGAGAAACAAAAGAATGTTGTACTGACCTCCGTGCACGTTTGAAAAATGGTCTAAAAAGCTAGTTGATAAATACCAAAAAATATAATAATTGCTTTAACTGTTACCAGCAGGTATTTTTTGAGAGACAAAACAAATGTAATTTATATTCTCTGAGTTAAAATACCAATAATACCCACACCTTGTTTTCTTTTTTTTTTTTTTTAAACAGATCTTCACAACTATGGAAATTACAAAGTCATCGGGACTGACTATCTCTCAGAAGGGTTGCTGAGCTTAGACCCTGCTGCTTTATAGTTTTCCTTGTCATGTATACTTTTCTCAGTAGAAGAGTTTTTAAAAATACCTAAATATACTCAGGTAAAACAGAAGCAGAGCAAATATGTTAGAGCTCAGAAAAGATACAGGACTTTTCTTTGGTTGTTGCAGGAAAGATCATCGACAAGGAAAATGGCATAGCAGCAGGGTATTTGCCTAACAAGTTTTGACTTCCTTGGAAAAGCAGTGGCGCTGCTTTCTTGACGTCATAGCTCAGAACCCTATTGTGAGGTGAGCTATGACTGATGATTCCCTTGCGAGTCAGGACCCCTCCCTTTCCAGTTTAGATGACTGAACATCTTCCTGAAGGAACTCATGAGTCACTCAATTAGCCACGATTAGCTTTCCTATTTGCCACTTGTGTTTGTCTCTCAACTGTGTTATTTGTATAAAAAGTTTGCCCAGAAGTAAAGTTGACTGTAAAACCGCACTATTTTAACAGATCAACCTAGAATTCACAGCAGGCCTCTTATGAATTGGACTTGGAAATGGAAATATTTCTGATAAGGTGTTCAGATATTCAGTAGGTTTATCTGAGTGCGTGCATTGCCATACAAATTCTGTACAACACAGAGGCCTTGTTGCCTGACAGTTTGTGATCAAATTGTCAGGTAGCATAAGAATGCTCTCCATTCTTATTTGTTTGCCCTTTGGCACTTTGGAGAGCAAGTCGGGCTGTAGCTTCAGACAGTACTACACACTGTCTAGGTAGTGTTCTCCATAAACCATTTTCTCTAGGAGTTCTTTTTATCTCCCGCCCTTTTAGAGACCTGACTTGTGATTTTCTCTTACTCATGCATTTCTTCATATCGTTAACACACCTGAAGCCATTTTTCCCTGTAGTATGAGAAAACATCTCACCTTAGGGGGAAAAATGCTTGAATTTTTTTTCACTTTGGTCCAAAGAATAAAATTACAAGACTGTTTTCAATATTATGTGAAATTTAAGTAATGTCAAATGGTTTTAAACTATTTAATCCACGATGTATTATGAAATCTAGGTTCAATAAATGAACAGCTACAAGTGGTGTGAAATTTCATTTGGACTGTCGCAAACGATTATGTGTATTTCAGATCCTAAACGATCGTATTACCATTAATCTTGATGCAACTGCACTTTTAGTAAATGGAGTAGCCAGTTAGTCTGGTACTGTTGTTTGGGAGGGGCGATGTAGGACGATTAGGTTGGATGGGATGTGGAACTGAATTTAGATCTGTGTCCACGTTGATGCTTTAATTCTACATCTAAAAGTAAGTATGCTTGTTTAACTGATAAATTCTGAACTTTTGGCACATCAGAACCATGTTGTAGAGGCTGGAAAACAGATTATATATATTTACATTTGGTTCTTTAGCCAGAGCATGTAACATTCATATTTGTGAATTGCTTCCCCTCACTTTCCCAAGGCCTGGTGGGTTTTATTTTGTCTTCGGAGGTGAATAAGAGCAGGGGCAGAGAGGGAGAAATATTTTGAATTATAATCTTTTTTGGAAACCTTAGTCCTGTACCCCCACTTACAAGTGGTTGAGTACCCTTCCAACTTTTCCCCTTTTCTTCCCTTCTTTTTAAAGCTCACAGTGGCATAGAATATGATGGAGGACTGGTCCCCCACCTCTGAAGTGTTTTATGTCAAGTGAAGTTAGGACAGTGTTTTTTAAATTAATAATATTTTATTGGGAAAGAAGCCTCTGGGAGAAAGAATGTAGGTTGTATATAAATGTATACTTGTTTGCAAGGTTGATGTAAATCTTCATCTTCATGCATAGAAATAATGTGAGGTAAGCTTTGAAATTTAGGTGGAAAGGAGCTCATGAGCTGTAGTCAATGCACCTGCTCACTGCAAGCATGCTGTGACATCTTTACCCTGAATTGTCATCTGAAGACACACATCTCTCAGCTCTACATTTCCTCTGCGTGGTGTTAATGAGCACAGGCTATTAAATTAGATCTTCCTTGGAGGTCTCAGAGCAGTACTGATCTCAGCCTTGCTTGGCTTATGATTCCTGCCTTAAGTGATATGACCCTAGGCAGTATGTTCAGTGGAAGCAGACAGCTGGAAAGCTGGGTTGACTTTAAAAAGTGGTGTGTACATGACCTGCTTAACTTGCAACAGAATCAGACTGTGACTCTAAGCATGTGTGGCATTAATGCCTAGCAAGATGTACTAGATGAAAGCAGGGGTGGCTCTAATCACTAAGGAACAGACTCATTGAGCTCAGGATCAGGACACATTCACTGAGCCATGGTGCTATAGTGTGGTGTTATGGTATTTACCTGGATTTTAATTTTTAGATGTTGTCTCTGCCCTCAATGAGTTTATAATCTAATCGTGAGAATGAATGTAGAATACATTTTATGTAAAGAAACAGGTTATTTTCAGTTTGGGGCATCAGAGAAGAACTAGCAAATTTATAAAACAGAGCTCTATTTATACTTCACTAGTCTAGGATAATTTACTTTTAAATCAGTTATTCTTTCATTAAAGCTATTACTACTCATATGGGAGAGATGATGTGTTTGAATTTCCCATATCACAGATGACTCCTGTCTTCCTTCATCATTGATACTAGGTGGAATAATCAGAGCATTGGATTTTACTTAAACTTATGGCCCAGGTATAGAGAAGGAGAAAGACTCTGAATTTTTAACTGCTCTTCCCTATGGTGGGTCCCTCCCCATACACATTGTGTTCTAACTTTATTCTGTACCACATGTTGGCAGGGTAGGTGCCCCGTGTGCCAAAATTAATCCTGTCTTTAGTGTTTCCATTCCTGCAACCAGCCAAGCCAATGGTCCGTTCCATAGACCTTTTGGTCTTCTAATCAGCTGTTGGTGGTTCTATGGGCTCTAGCCTAGAGGTGGGGGGGTTTCAGCATCCTCATGACCTGCCCAGGATCTAGTTATTAGATGAACTGCCCACACTGAACTGCTGCGGTTTTCGTTGGTCACATGCTCTCATAAGGAAATTGGGCACATCCTTAGACCCACTGCCCATTGGGTGACAATAGATTTCGTGCTCTTTGTAGATGGTGGGCATCACCAATGTTCAGCAGTTATGTCCTGATATTTGCAGTCATTGTCAGTATCGTGAAGATGTGACTGAAAATTATCCTGGCCCCTTTGCATTTTTGGTTCCATTTTCTGTTCAAATTGTTACCTGAAGTAAGCATATTCCAATACTTCTTTGAAGTTTAGATTATATAACCAGGTACACAAGAGGTAATTTACAAATAGTAATAATAATGAGTTGCTGAGTTTGTTGGGAGTATGGATAAACCTAAATGATTCCCAGGTGTTGAACATTAACTAATTGGGCTTTCCTCTTGAAGCCTCTCCCCTCCTCTCCTTGCTCCCAGTATGGTCCTTAGGACTCCTAGGCTGGTTGTGCTAAGAAATCAATCAACAAACATTTATTAAGTACCTACTGGGTGCCACGCACTGAAAATATGAAAACAAAAATGAAAGGCCCTCCCTCGCCTGCCTTCAGTGAGCTTATAGCTAGCTGAGACCTGGTTGTCTAGCCTACATGATGAGCAAAAGGAAAGCTTCTGTGCCAGGCAAGCCAACTTTGCCTTGATTTTCAGTGGAAAAATAGGGATAATGGTTGACATATATAAAAGATTATGAGAATAAGATTGTAAAAATGCCATACTAAGGGTGTTTGTGTCTCTTTTGTGGGCACATACATGTTTAGGTGCCCTAGCGTCTATGTTAAACCTAGAGACTCCCTGCTCAGTCTTCTTGGGTTGGGATTTCTGTAGGTTGGATTATTCCTTACCGATCCATATAGGGAGGAGGAGGATAGGTTGGATTACAGAAAGAAGCTAATTTGGGGCTTGACCTTTGTAGTGGAAAGTTTGGGTCAGTATCCTGAATATGACTGAATATTGAACAGGAAAAGGGGAACTAATAAAGGTGTTCCAATGTACTATCTTCACATTTCTTTTACATGCCTGTGGTTGTAGCAGTTAACCCCAAACCACAAACTCTACTGTGCACTTTGCCCAATTGGTTGAATAATTCCTAGACACATCTGGCCCCCACCCAGGCGCCTAATTAATTTCCAAGCCAAATCCCTTAGGGAGAAACCAGGTAGGTTTTAGAAACCCTCTGGGAGTTAAGGCTTGAAAATGTCTTAGAAGCCCTCATTGCCCCATATGTGTTGCAGACATCTCAAGCACTCATCTCAGACATTTATCACTCAGGAAGAGATTGCAGAGTATCAGTTGCTGTGGCAACCACTACCTAAAGAACAGATCAGATGGATGCCAAACACAGATGGGTTTCTATAGAAACTTAGATATGTAAATGATCAGCAATAGCTCTTATTCAGGTTTTGATCAAAACATTTTCATAAGTTGAGTTTAAATTCTCCCTTGGTACTCTAAAATTTGCAGTTGTTTTGGTTTTCTTGGAAGAGAACCTAGGACTGTTTCACTGTAGCAGTTCAGGTGCCTTTGTCATAAAAGAAATATAGATGCCTCTTTTAAAATAACCACCTACCATTTTATGTTACTGCATCATCCTGTGTCTGAGCTGTAGATTCTCTAAACCTTTGGAAAAACTGCCATGAGAGATGGCCCAAATGAGTATTATACTCCTCCTCAAATTGGCTTGCAGAGATGTGTTTGATAATACCTAGTACTGAGTCAAGGGTCTAGCAGAGGGCATAGTAGGCCAAGCCAAGTCAACACGCATTTATTTATCGCCTTCTGAATGCCAGGCACTGTTAAGTGCTAGGAATACAAAGGCAAAAACCATCCCTTAAGGACCTCACAGTCTGATGGGAGAGACAGCAGGCAAATAGCCATGTACAAACAGGACACGCAGGATCAATTGGAGATATGTCCAAAAGAAGGCACCAGCTTTAGGGGTTGAGAAGGAAGGGCTTCTTGCAGAGCTCCAAGCTAGTACCTCAGGTTTGAGATTGCAATGGAATGAGCCAGTTAACCAAAGGATGGTCATTTAGCCTTAGCAGGGGAAGGACACAGGCTTGATTCAGCCAAGCACAGCTTTCTTGTGCCAATGCTGGTCATGCTGCTGGCCCCTGCTGTCCAGGTGATTTTTTTGCATTCAGGTGGCCAGGAAACTGCATCAATGGCATGAGCCTTAGTCCCCTGAGCCAATTAAATCTCAAAGACAATGTAAGTACTGTTTAAGGAAAAACATCTATCCTGCATAAGGCAAGGACTTAGAATATTGCTTTCACCGTAGAAGGAAAAAATCTGAAAATTTAATGTGGGCAAGTGGGATTTTCAGTCTTTCTGACATGAATGATAATAGCTTGCATTTATTTACTGCTTTAAGATTTGCCAAGCACTTTACATGTACTCTCTCATTTAATCATCACAACAACCCTGGGAGGCGGGTATTATCCTCATTTTATAGGCCAGGAAACTGAGTGAGAGAGGTTAAGTGACTTAGCCAGGGTCACATAGCCAGTCCAACGCTGCCCCTCCTAGCTGCCTAAAAGAAAGGTTTAGTTCTGAAAGGACTGTTTTGATCTTCAGAAAAGCCAAAATGGATTGAGGTCATTCCATAGAAAGCTTGTTCCCAAGTTCCTTTCCATCGCTAGCCTCCAACCTTTTCTTACTTCAGACCTGGAGGGGTTCATAGGATCGTAGATTTAGAGCTGGGAGGGACCGTGGAGGTCACCGAGGTCATTGCCCTCATTTTACAGATGACAGGGACAGCAAAGAAGTCACTCTGTTATTTCCACACAGGCAGTGTCAGAGATGGGATTTGAACTCGGGTCCTGTGACTCCAGTTCAGCACTCTCCATTGTACCAGTGTTCCCCTCCAGTCACAAATTAATATTAACTTATAACCAGAGTTACTGTGACCTGCTTTCCATCCCTGCAGCCTCCCTCTCCCCTTACCCATTGCAGTGTATACACTGCACAAGACTGGCTGTAAGAATAATCTTCCTGCTCAAAGCTTGTAGCCTAGGCAATGACCCCAAGTAATCTCTCCGATCTCATGTCTTACCAACTCTACATGAGGCTTCTGTTTCAATCAGACAC